TGAACGGACGTACGCGGCAGGGCTCCAGTATACTCGTGCAGAAACTGTGCGCACCGCCCGCAGAGGGTTCAGACTTCATCCTCGAGCGTTCACCCTGAACGGACGTACGCGGCAGTATACTGGAGCCTTAAGGGCTTGTACTGATACTTCACCCCTTGAAAGGAGAAACGCAGGAATTTTCTGTGTTTTGGGATGATCGGTATGTGAAAATAGGCATCTTTTAGGTCAATGAAAACAAACCAATCGTTTCTTTGGATGTTGACCAACAGCTGTCTGGTTGTCAACATGTGAAACGGTCTGTCCATGATCGCCTTGCTGAAAACTGACAGGTCCAAAATGGGTCTCGTTCCTCCGGTCCATTTGGGAACCAGGAAGTAACGTGAGTAAAACCCTGTGTTTTCCTCTCCGTTGGGAACTCTGGAGATTATCTCTTTTATCAGAAGTTCCTGGACTTCTGCATTTAGGGATGAGCTTTGGTCTAGTGATGACAGGACCGTCTCTAAAATTCCTCTGAACGGAGGGGGTCGGGTTGCAATTTGCAACGTGTAACCCTTGCTTAACACCCTGGCCATCCATCTGTCTGGCGAGCATGTTTTTAGCCACTCTGCGTAACGTTCGTGGAGTGGACGTGCGTTTAAGTGATGCGTCATGTTGTGAATGGATGTCATCCAGTCCGCCGCCTCGACTGCCGTCATGTGTCGCGGGGATGTTTTCCGCGTGACCCAAGGCAAGGCTTCCTCGAAAAGGGCTCTGAACGCGCCCGTGTGCTGCGTTCGGATCGTGTTGAGGGGAAGCATGTGGCAGCTGATGACGCCGTGGGGCCGCGCGTTTGACGCCACTGCGGTGAAACGTGTGTCGCTCCTGCCGCGAGAGGTGTCCTGCGCTGGGTTCGCTTTGAGATCTCGCATCTATGCCGCCATGAGCGGGTGAGTGCTGTGAAGCGGTGAGTGCAACTTCATCTACGCCGTGCCGTTTGAGTGAAGACTGCGAGCCCCGCGGGAGCACACGTTTTCTCTGGTGGGACGCGCGCCGCTTTCGCTGGAAGCGAGGTTCGTCACTGGGTTCGCTCAGCTGTTTCACGCTTATGCTGCCGTGAGCGGCCGAGCGCTGAGACGCGGTGGATGAAGGCTGCCCGCGCCGCGGCGGCACGCGTTTGCTTCGATGCGACGTGTGTTGCTCTCACTGAGAGCAAGGTCCTCCACCGACCCGACCTGCGGTCCCACATTTATGCCGATGTGGGCCGGTGAACGCCGGGGAGCTGTGTGTGCACCATCATCAACGCAACGCCGTTTGGGTGAAGGCTGTTTACGTCGCGCGAGTGCGCGTTTGACACTGCTTGGGTGAGGATCATGCAGCTCGGGTTGACAACGAGTTATTTCTCTTACCATTGTGTCGTGTGAGCGTCTCGTCATGTCTTGGAGCAACGGTGAGTTTAAAAAAAAACCCTTATTTAAGGACACTGTCTCGTTATGTGTGGAGGATGTGTGTGCAGCCGCTGCGAGTCCATCCGAGCTTACAGACTGGCTAGAAACAGACACTTTGATCATTGAATGTTTTATTCAACATTTGTGTCATATTTACACACACCCTCCGCAGACCATCATTTTGAATCTTTTCCCCCATGAGCTCTGGGATTCGTTGGCCCAGGGCGCCGTCTGCTGGGGATCTCTGGGAAAAACGTTGGACACTGTTGCCGGGATGAAGAGGGCCGGTCTCTGACGGACGGGACTGAAGTTCAGCGAGACGGCCGTGGAATCGTCTTGCTACCAGCTAATTTCGTGTGGAGGGTGTGAGAGAGAGCCACTGTCAGATCATCTGAGCTGACAGACTGGCTAAAAATAGACACTTTCATCATTAAATGATGTTTTACTCCAAACTCGTGTCACCTTACACACATTCTCCGCCAAAACCATCATTTGCTCTGCCATTTGTTCTCCTAGAGTGCCATCTGTTGGCGGTCTCAGGGAAACGCTGAAAACTCCGTCCTCCGGCTGCGATGCGGGCCGGCAGACAGCAAAGAGGCGCACCAGTTGGGGATGACGTCAGCTGCCCTGCAGACGGAGCGTTTGTCTCCTCCCGCCTCTGAACGTGTACGCCAATAGCATAACGTGTTGTTCGCTGCGGCCGTCTGGAACGTATGCTGGTGAGCTCAGTCGGAGATAGGTGTCACCTTCTGGGTTACGCTAACCGGAGGCACGGGATGCTAGTCCACCTGGACATCTTGCTCCGATGAAGCCTCCGTCAGGCTCGGCTCCAGGGGGCATTGAGGGAAAAACCGCTCGGTGAAAACCCCTCTGCTCTGGTGATGGGCGCGGGCTGTGGAGACAGGCCCCCCAATCTACCAGGAAAGCCGGCTGTGGCCTCGTCCCATAGGACGTCCTGTTGGGAAAAACGAGGCCAGATGGGGTCAGGACGGTGAGCCGGAAAGAAGCCTAGAAAAGAACCCTCCCGCCGGATCATCCGAACTGGCGGGAAAGGCACGAGACGTAAAAAAGGGTCACTTCATGTCAGCCAGTCCTGGGTTACGCGGGCAACCCCAGAGGGCGCCGTCGGCCGGGAGCGGTGTGATCGCCGATGCGAAACGAGGTGGGATGAGGTGAGCATTCGCTCAGCCCCCTTCCACCGACACTACGCTCTCCAGGAGGGAATGAGCCGCGGGGGGCTGCTGCTGATGCTGCCTGTCCCGGAGGAACCATCAGATTTGCTCCGAGAGTCAGCGATAAGAGGAAAATTACAAGATGGCGTTGTCCAGCGTATAGCGACCTGTCAATGAGAAATACTCCTCGGCGCTTACCTTGAAATAAGACTGCTCGTCAGCTTCTCCTCGGGGAGGAGAGCTCACCGGGACGACCGGAGGTCGGCGTGACGGGCCAAGCATTCTTAACAAAGGTTGGTCATCTACACAACTTTCCTTATTCGTTCTTCTGACAGTGCTATTAGCTCACTGAAGAAAAATGGGAGCCGATTACCCGCTCTTAACGTAATTTATACGGACCGGGTGGGGCCCACACAGCAGGTGGGCGTGGACTAAATTTTTCAGTGTAATGCTTCGCATAACGGGATAAATCCATCAGTGACAGCCTTAAAGGGCGAAGTTTATACAAAATAGAACTAAACTATTAGTTATTATTATTAAACTGCAACATATATATATATATATATGAGTGTGTGTTCTTAATATATAAAAAAAAAGACTGATAAAAAATGAAATAAAAACAAACAAACAGAATAACATTAGCTGTGCTTCAATAAACATTTAAAGGACACTGGAGAGTACCGTTAAGGCTGCGGATGCACCGGATGTCCAGATTCTTTAGGATGCAGTCCCCCCTCAGATCCAGGTTGTCTGGGATGGACTGGAGGGCCAGTCTGGCAAAAAGCAGGTCGATCTGCTCAACAAACCAAAGCAAGCAGTTAACCAGTCCTTTCTGTTAATAAAGAGCATTTTAAACACTAGAACAAACAATACAGTGTCTGATAAGAATTCAAATTCAATCTTTCATATAAAAATCCCGGTACAGTCTAGACCGGAACAGCTCGTATGTGTGAAATTTTCTACTATTACTGTTAAGTAGCCGATCGAGGCAGATTGTCCGGTTCTGTTGGAGATTACTTCCTGTAAAAGGCAGTCTGCTGCTTCAGGTAAACTTCACTGATTGTTGTTTCATAATGTTGGTGAAGGTTTAGGAGCAGCTGCCTCAGTTGAGTCTGGCTCTGAACTCACACAAACTGAACAGAGCAATACTCAAAGATATCAGAAACTCACCTCAATCCCATCAAATTTGAATTTTATCACTGGAACAAAAGCATCTTCAACAGCCTTGAAAGGAGAAAAAAACATTTACAATCTGTTTATTTCCACTGCCAAAGAAAAGTAACATCATTGTTGTGTTTCAGCAACCAATAACTGAAAATACTCACTCTGAGATCTTTAATCTCTTCATGTAGTTTCAATTTCTCAAAAAAAGATTGGAAAAAGTCAATTCTCTCGACATGACGTGGAGCCACACATAAAGCATCAATATCAGCCCCTGAAAAAATAGAAGTCACTGATTCAGTCCAATTAACGAACAGAACGCGGGTCCAGGCTGGCAGAACAATTCAATTCAATTCAGTTTATTTATGTAGCACCAAATCACAACAACGTTGTCTCAGGGACTTTACAGAAACATTCACATAAAAGCCAATTAGTAAAGTTCTCTATCTAAGGAATCCAGCAGACAAGTTGAATCTTGGTTTCGTTGCAGTCTCCCATCCTGAGAAAGCAAAGTGGCGACAGTGGAAAGAAAAACTCCCTTTTAAAAGGAAGAAACCTCCAGCAGAACCAGGCTCAGGACAAGCGGCCATCTGCTTTGACCGGCTGGTTGAGAGGACAGGAAGGAGAGACAGACGAACACAGAACGGTAAAACCCTGCAAGATACAGAATTAATTATTTCCATGGTGAAAAAGCGCTGCGTCGCTCAGTGGTGAAGCTGCAGATCAATTTAACCATGACGTAAATATGCCAGGGATTTTAACGGAAATACGAGTGGAGTAAATTAGCAACATGAAGATCGGGGGAGATAGAGCACAAACTTTTCTAAGCAAGTTAAGACAATTCTTATTCATAAATGGAATTATGCTAGTACATCCTGCTCTCACCCACCTGGAGCAGAAGGACTCCTAAGTACATACACTCTTTGTGGACTTCATGTCTGTCTTCAACACCATGATCACCATCACCATGACCCTGATGGACAAACTATTCACACTAGGACTAAGCACCTACATTTGCAACTGGGTCCTGGACTTCTTAACAAACAGACCACAGTCAGTGATGATCCACAACTCCTCCTCCTCCACCATAACCCTCAGCACTGGCTCTCCTCAGGGATGTGTGTTGAGCCCCCTCTTGTTTACTCTGCTCACGTATGACTGCGTACCGACCCATCCAGGCTGTCACATTGCAAAGTTTGTAGATGATACAGAAGTGATGGGATGCATCACAAACAATGATGAGTCCACCTACAGGCAGGAGGTGGAACACCTGGAGAGCTGGTGCAAAGAGAATAACCTTCACATCAGTAGCTATGTTTACATGCACAACATTTTTTGACCGGATTGAAATGTTTTCAGATTAAATAATTCAAATGTATTGTTTACATGGGCACAATCTGTTAATGACAAGCGTTTACATGCAGTGGGCTTTGTTCTGAACAGCAGTACGGACATGCGCAGAGTGGTAAACTCTTTTAAAAAACCACAGAAGAAGAAGTGCTACTTCTGGTTTAATTCCGGGTTGAATGTAAACAAACCTGAGCACCAAAATGGACCCGCGACAGGTTTTAATGACGGTGGAGACGTTACTGCACTCCCGGACTGAACTACGGGTAATACAGATCATTTTGAGCTCTTTCAAAGTTTCTAGTAGAAATGTTGTGTTGCTCACCGACCAGTTTTACTTCCCCGACATGCTAACATTATTAGCATTAGCCAGGTGGAAATGGCAAAGTTGCACATGTGCAGTCAGGTCAGTTTTTCACCATCAGATAAAAACGAACAGATCAAGTGTTACATGGACACCGTTCGGGGTTATGAATCGGCGTAAACCACCTGTTTCGTTCTGATCACAAATTATTTCGGATCACGCTGAATAAACAGAAAGTAACCCGAACAGGGTGTTTACATGACGCGTTTTTGTTCCAAACGGCCGTTTGATCCGATTACTTAAATCCATGTAAACACAGCTAATGTGAAAAAGACAAAGGAGATGATCGTGGACTTCAGACGGAACAAACATGGAAGTGGTCTCCAGCTACAAGTACTTGGGTGTGCAGCTGAACAACAACCTCAGCTGGAGCAACAACACCACCAGCCTGATGAAGAAAGCTCATCAGAGACTCTACTTCCTCAGGCGGCTGAGACGAGCTGGTCTGGAAGCTCAGTCCTCACTAGGACTGGGTACTTTTCTAAAAAATTTGGTATCGGTAGCTTCACTTCGGTGTCAGTTCCTGAAAAGTTATTTTTTCGGTACCCATTTTGTAATTAATATTAATTCTAACAGAAGGTAATATAATCCAGCATATTGAACGGCGATCTGTGCAACCTGGAAGTATTCCTTCTAGCGCATGCGCAAATGAGCTACACTACGGATCGTAGGGCTGGGCCATATCATATCATATCATTCACAAGAATACCGGTAAAAATATGCGAAAATAAATTATATCATGATATGCTGATTTCTTCTTCTCCTACTCCGCTCCTGTTTCCTGGAATATCTTGTAAAAAGATCTGAAGCTCTTGACCTTTGACCTAAGTGGCTTTAAGAAACTGTTGGACTCCTGGCAGGGACCAATGCAGACATGTTCCTGTTCTTAGTTTTCTACATTTGCCTTAGAATCTAGCTGTTTTTGTTACTTTTTTTGCCATTTTATTTTAATTTGTAAAATAAATAAATACATTTGTACACATCCTTTATGATTGTCATTTATGATTGTTGGCGTTGTTCACTGTTGTCATCATTCTTTGTTAAAATCAGGTCTGTCTTGTAAAAGAGTCCTCGAGGCTTGGGATTTATCTGTAGAAATAAAGGTTGAATGAATTTCATGATGTAAATATGTCAGTGTTTACCCTTATACAAGTGGGGCACCCCACCCCATTAACAGAACTGAGTGCGCCGAACTACAGAACTGAACTGCGCACCCTCCAATCCACTTGTCGGTACTGGCGTAACACTAACTAGCTGCGTGCAATCCTAGCTAGCTAAAAACAAACAACGAGCGGCTCAGCC